CAACTGCTCTGGCAGGGATCACAATAGAGGGTTCTGGACAGAGCAGGAGAAAAATATAGAACAAAATTCAAATTCACACACACACACACCAAAAAAAAAAAAAAAGACCAGGCTTGGTGGTCTAACAGAGACTAGAGAAACCCTGAGAGTATGGCCTCCGGATACCCTTTTAACTCAGTATTGAAGTCACTCCCGAGGTTCACCCTTCAGAAAAAGATTAGACAGGTCTATAGGGCCAGCAATAACATATGTGAGGGACATGTTTCATAGTTCAATCATGTATACAAGACTAGTGGCCACATCATCCCAAAAACAAAGACGAGAAGGCAAGAAGGGACAGGAAAACTGGACGAATGGAAACAGGGAACCTGGGGAGGAGAAGGGGAGAGTGTTGACACATTGCAGGGTTGGCAACAATGTCACAAAACAATTTGTGTATGAACTGTTTAATGGGAAACTAATTTGCTCTGTAAACTTTCACCTAAACCACAATTAAAAAAAAAAAAAAGTTTAGCTTAACTAGTAAAGAATGTCTGCCTTGAGCATTATGCTCTTTTAAGATCTATCTATATGGGATCCATCTGACAACAGCAATTTTAAAGATTAGATAAGAACCTTAGGGGGCAGTGAGTTTATGTTAATCGGAGAGGAACAACTCCAAAAAGGAGGGTGAGAATGGTTGCACAACTCGAAGAATATAATCAATGTTAATGAATTGTACACGTAGAAACTGTTGAACTGGTCTATGTTCTGCCGTGCATATTCTCAACAACAAAAAAAGATACATCCATACAATGGAATGTTACGTGGTCATAAAGAGGAATGAAGTACTGATACGTGCTGAAACAAGGAAGAACCTTGAAAACACTAAGTGAAGAAGCCACTCACAAAAGGCCACGCATTGTATGATTTAGGAAATGTCAAGAAGCAAATCCAAAGGGACAGAAAACAGGTTAGTGCTTGCCAAAGGCTAGGAGAGGGGAGAATAGGGAATGACTACTAATGGGTAAAGGATTTGAGGCGGGGCGGGGCGGGGGGCAGTGTTGATGAAGATCTTCTGGAATTAGTGTTAATGGGCTCCAGGGTGGCACAAACAGTTTGCATTTGACTACTAAAATGTTGGCAGTTTGAAATCACCCAGCAGAGCCAGGAATGAAAGGCCTGGCAATCTGCTTCAGTAAAGATTACAGGCAAGAAAACCCTAGGGAGCAGTTCTACTCCGTAACACATAGGGTTGCCATGAGTAGGAAGCAACTCTGCAGCCACAGGTTTTTAATTTTTTTTTTAATGGTTGCACAACTGTGTAAATATACTAAAATCAGCTGAATAGTATACTTTAAAAGGGTGAATAACATGGTATGTGAATTATATCTCAATTAAGAAATAAAGAACACAGGCCCTCTATCATATGATCTGTCATAAATATACTCTTTGCATACACAATGGCTTACTTTCAAATCATCTGAGTGAAAAGTCAATTCATAGACTACTCAACAGCTTAGGAATTGTGAAGTTTCATCTATAAAACAAGGGGTTTAAATTGAGGAAAGGAAAAAAAAAGGCAAAGAAAGATAACCCATTGGGGAAAAAAAAAAAAAAGACAACGTGCTCAACAGTAAGAGCAGAAAAAATAGAAGGTAGAACTCATTGTGTTCTCACCTTCCCCATTTACATTGACTCTTCACTAATGGTTGCTATCAATTCTGTGCATGCATGTTGGTGAAGAATACTGAATACACCATGGACTGCCAGAGAACGAACAAATCTGTCTTGGAAGAAGTACAGCCAGAATGCTCTTTAGAAGCAAGAACGGCAAGACTTCGTCTCATGTACTTTGGACATGTTATCAGGAACGAACAGTCCCTGGAGAAGGACATCATGCTTGGTAAGGTAGAAGGTCAGTGAAAAAGAGGCAGACCCTCAATGAGATGGGCTGACACAATGGCTGCAACGATGGGCTCAAGCACTGCAACAATTCTGAGGATGGTGCAGGACTGGGCAGTGTTTTTTTTTTTTTGTACACAGGGTTGCTCTGAGTCGAAAACAACTCAACAGCACCTAATAACAATAAAAGGTCTCCTCCACCTGTCAGTCTACTGTATTGTGGTGGCCTGCGTGTTACTATGATGCTAGAAATTGTGCCACCAGTATTTCAAATACAAGCAGGGTCACCCACAGTGAACGGGTATCAATGAAGCTTCCAGACTAAGACAGACTAGGAAGAAAGGCCTGGTGATCTACTTCTAAAAATTAACCAATGAAAACCCTATGGATCACAACAGAACATTGTCCGATATACTGCTGGAAGATGAGCCCTTTAGGTTGGAAGGCACTCAAAATACACAGTGGCCACAACAACGAGCTCAAGCATACCAATGATCATGAAGATGGCACAGGACCAGACAACGTTTCACTCTGTTGTACATGGTGTCCCCATGAGTTGGAGCTGACTCAATGGCAACTAACAATAACAATAAAAGGTTTCATAAAGGACTCACAATAAAAAAGCTTTCCCACAGCAGACTAATAGGTCCTGTTATAAGAGCTGTTGTTAATCCCTCAGCTCAAACATAAGGCCCACAAGAGACTGTGCCCATTTTACCTAATGAATTTTTACAATTATGTAATTTTTGTTCATTCTCTTCTCCCTTGAGATGAGTACCAACAATGTTAATAAAATCATGACTTATATTGTAGACTCCTGGCCTTTTTTTTTTTTTCCTTCTTTCATTAACTATCAGAGATAGCCAGTGATGAATATACCAAGTTTCTATTCTGGAGGCTCTAGATAAAAATAGCTGCATTGCTCTGAGGAGATAATAATTTCCAATTTCCACTAATGAAGTTTTCTGTCCTACAAATGTAAAATGCTGTTCTACTGAAATCCAGAGCATCAGGTGTTTTACTCTGTAGGATACCAAGCCAAACAAAAAGAATAATTTTAACCAAGTCTTCACTGAAGGTCCAGATTCAAACAATTCCTGCCTCCTTGAGTCTGAAGGTGAGTTACAGTCCCTTCTGCCACACCACAGCTGCTGCCACTGTCACTCAAGGCAGAAGCATATGTGAAGTTAAGAATGACTCTATTATCAGAATCACTTTTGACCTACACACTCAGGCCAGGTGCAGAGGACATCTGTTATTTGTGCTGACCCAGCACCTATTCCCTCTTGTTCTTATAATGGCACCTGATGTCCCTTTCAGAAACCAGTTATCCAACTCACAGTTCAGGTAGCTCAGGTGGAGCTGGATGACTCTATTCCACTTCCAGTAGGAGACAGGTGACTCAGCCTGACCAGTCTTGACATTCCTTCAATCACAGAGATGTGATCAGGGTTAGGCCCATGACCCAATCAAAGTCAATCTTAGAACTTTTGCTGGAGCTACCAGGAGAGAGGGACTCTCTTTTCCAGCCATATTATCACTAGGAAAGGAGGCGGCGAGGCGGGGGTGGAAAAAAATACTCTTACCAGAGGGTAGGACACAGGACTTTTGTTTTGTATATGATCAGCTCCTAGGACAAAATCTTACACAATACAGGTGCCCAATATTGTTCAATTAAAGTAAATACACAGAAAACAGAGAGAAAAACAAAAATTAGAACTACCACTACCATTGTTCACCTCTCCCACAATATTGAACTTCCTGAATTTAGAATAGAAGGCTAAGTGTCAGAGTTAGACAAGGTCATCTGCACATGAACTAAAACATAGGAAAACAGAGATAAAGAACTGCCTCCTATGAAGTCATCTGTCCTGACAACAAGGCTACTTCAGGTTCAATCATTAGGTTAAGAGTCCTTGAAGGCTTGTGGGCTGTGTTCTCATCAACCATCATTTATTAAGGGCATAGGATGCCTCCAAACATTACAGAAAGTGAGTACAAGAATTGGTCAAAGACAATCCATACAACAGCTCTAAAGGGATGAAAATTTTTATATCTTATAAATGTAATTCAACAGAAGCTGGCACCCACATCCTATTCTGGAACCAATAAGAAGATGGACCACTTAAAATGAGAAATCTTCAGTACAGGCCAGAAGATTCTAGGCAAAAATTTGAGAGAGACCAATGTGTACATGCAAACAAGACACCTGCCTTGTAAGTTACAAAGCAGCTAAAAAGACATAGGGCTTTCTCTTTAGAGAGAAGGTGTGATTATCAATTATCACAAAAGCTGGAGAGGGAATTAAGATCGAGGATGGCCAATACACTCTGAAACAGTAACCAGGACTCCTCACCACGCAGAAGACAAACACTAATAATGCAGAGCCTCCTGAGGAACAACAGGAAGATTTTGAAAGGCCAATAATTATACACAATGGAGAAACGATGAGAAGGCCAGCTACCAATCTCCTACACTCTCCATAACTGAAAGACTAAAGCATGGTCCTGGCCTTCACCAAGCTCACAGCCTACTCAGGGAGATGAGAATATTTAATAACTGTTATGTCGGAGTAAACACACACTTCTGTGGCAGCATACAGAAATACTGAAGGGGGGACGCATTGGTTTGAGAGTCAGGCAAGGCCCACTGGAAGCTATTACCTCTCACCAAAGTCCTGAAAATTGATCATAATTAACCTAGAGGGAAGAAAATTGGGATGGAAAATGGGAGAAAGAGCACACTAAGTATAGAAGAAGGAGCACTGGCTTAGGAGTCAGAAGACCTGGGTTTTAGTCGCCTAAGTTTTTTCCACAAACACCAATATGCAAAGTACTTGGCACATAGAACCAAGTAATAGTTATTACTATTTATATATCCTAGCACCCAGCACATCCAAGCACTGTATAAGATATAAATAATAGTAATAAAGTAACAATAGCCAGTTGCAATCAAGTCAGTTCTGACTCATGCAGACTCCATGTGTGTCAGAGTAGAACTGTGCTCCATAGTGTTTTCAATGGCTGATTTTTTCAAAAGTAGATCGCCAGGCCTTTCTTCCTTCCCAGGCGCCTCTGGGTGGATCCAACTTCCAACCTTTCAGTTAGCAGTCTTATCCATTTACACCACCAGAACCCAAACCAAACCCATCGCCTTGAAGTGGATTCCAACTCACAGTGATCCTACAGAACAGAGTGGAACTGCCCCATAGGGTTTCCAAGGAGCGCCTGCTGGATTATGAACTGCCAACCTTCTGGTTAGCAGCTGAACTCTTAACCACTACACTACCACCCAGGGACTCCAATAAAGCAACTTCCTTTGACTTAGTGTTTCCTATGCGCTAAAGAACTGGAGATAGTGGGATAATTAAAACAAGTCCTTTTCCTCGAGAAGCGGACCTTACTAAAAAAGACTACATATACTTATACAACAATGTTGGAGACACTGAAACCCAGTATTAAGAAAAAGGCACCAACTTAATAAGAAGACAGCCACGCATAACTTAAACTCGAATCTGACTTAAAATACTGAGACCTTCATCAAGAAGATGGAGGTGGGGGAGTACGAGGAAATAGAAATAAGAGGTAACAACAGGAGGAACAACAGCCCTCACACCAAATTCCCTAATGCTCAGAATTATGCTGAGTCCCAAGACCCAGCCCGTCTTGGGTGGGGGGGGGAACGTTAGGGAAAAAAAAGACTCCAGGTCAAAAGGCATAAGCAGGTGCACGATTCGGGGTGTGGTGATAACCTTTACTAGCTCTCCTGCCAACCCCCTGCCTTGCCCTTCCCAACGCCGTCCACAAACCGGGAGACTCCCACCCGCAATCGGGGAAACGAGGGAGCACCTTAGGGGAGGCAAGCGGGCGCTCTCCGGGGACAGGGCCCGGAACGTTCGCCTCCCGCGAGTATCGGTGCGCCGCTGCCGAGCTGCCATGGGTCCCGGGCCGCTGCGGCGCGCCGCAGCCGCAGGAGCCTGCGAAGGACGCCGCGCAAGCCCCGGCTCCGGACTCCTCGTCGCCTGCCGCCCCGCGCAGCAGCAATACCAGCGGTAGCAAAAGGACGCAACCCAGCCCGGCACAGTGTCTACCAGCTGGCCCTAGCGCGGGCGCAGCCATGTTGTCCACAGAGCCAGGTGACCCTGTGGGTCACGTGGCCCCGCCCTCCTTAAAGGGGCCAGACCCTGGGCTGACTTACGAAGTGGACGCGAGAGTTACTCTACCTTTCTCCAGGTACTACTCCTTTGGAGTTCTCCTCGTGTTCTGCTGATATCAAAACGCAACAAAATACAACAAAACACTACAAAACTCAACGCGTCCTATAATCTAAAAAAAATCCATTGCTGAGGAATCGATTCCGACTCATAGCGACGCTATAAAACCTAGAGAACTGCCCCATAGGGTTTACAAGGAGCAGCTGGTGGATTTGAACTGCCTGCCTTTTGGTTAGTAGCTGAACACTTAACCACTGCGCCACCAGGGCTCCTCCTGTCGTCTAGGAACCCTATTATTATTTCTTGGTTGAAGAGTGGTAATTGGTAAAATTATCAAGCATTTGCTAAGTGTCAGTTGCTATGCTAAGTAAGCACTTAATTTTTCAAAATCTCATTTAATCCTCACAACAGCCGTGTAATATTGGGTTCACAGAGCAATCAAGTGACTTGCCTGTGGTCACCTGGCGAGTAAGTGCCAAAACCGAGATTTAAACCCAGTGATTCCAGAAACAAACCCTGAGTTTTAACCATTATGCTTTACTATAAACCAAAAAAAACCCAAAACCATTGCCGTTGATTCTGTGGGATAGAGTAGAACGGCCCCATAGGGTTTCCAAGGAGTGCCCGGTGGATTTGAACTACCAACCTTTTGGTTTACAGCCATTACTCTTAACCACTATACCACTAGGGTTTCCATGGTTTACTATGGGCAATTAAAAAAACTGCTTCTTACAGGGATAGAGGGAAAGATGAAAATGTTGAAGGACACCACACCAAGAGGATGCAATCAGGGAAATCCAGACTGTAGGATACTTTCCTTCGGTGATGGTTCTCAAAGTGTTGTCCCCAGAGCAGCCACATCAGCATCACACGGGAACTTGTTAGAAATGCAACACCGGGTCAGACTCTCTGGGGCAGGACCCAGCAATCTGTGGTTTTAACATACCCTCCAGATGACTCCAGTATGCACTAAATTTCAGAACCACTGTTCTCCAGGGCCCAGTTTCCTCAGTGAACAAAAGGCAAAAAAATAGTAGGTGAAGGGGCATCTTATAGATTAAAAATGATGTATCAGCCAACTGCAATGTATGTACCTTATCTAAATACTGATTTAAACTTTACCAATCTCAAAATTTTTGAGATTATCGTGGAAATTTGACCACTAGATCAAAATGGTATTTTATGAAATTAAGGAATTGGTTTAAATTTTGTTTTTAGTTTTCTTTAGGAGTTATAACAGTATTTGTACTTAAGTTTTTTTAAAGAGTCCCTTTCTTAGAGGTATAGGTATTGAAACGTGTATGGATAAAATGATACGCTATCAAGGATTTGCATCCTAAAAAGTGGGTAATGGAGGGAGTCTAGACATAGAATATGAATGGCCATGAGTTGATAAATGTTGAAGCTGCTTGATTTGGTATCTGGGTGTTTATGATACTATTCTACTAGTCTCTACATTAGTATCTGAGTTTTTTCAACAATTTCTACATGTCTAACTCAGTGTCATTGAGTACACTCTTCATGTTGCGCAACCATTATTGCTGTCCTTTTTCAAATTATTCTACCACCATTAACATAAATTCAATATCCCTGAAGCAAAAACTCCCCTTTTCCCCTTCCTCCCACCCTTAGTAACCACCAATAATCTTTGGCTTCTATGTATTTGCTTATTTCATATAAATGAGTTCATACAATATTTATCCTTTTGCCACTGACTTAATTTGCTCAGCATAAAGTTTTCAAGGTTCATTCATGCTGTGGCATGCATCAGGACTTCATTTCTCTTTATGGCTGAGTAATAGTCCATTGTCTGTCTATACCACATTTTGTTTATCCATTCCTCTGTTGATAGGCCCTTTGGTTGTTTCCACATTTTGGCTGTTGTGAACAGTACTGCAGTGAACATTGGTGTACAGGTTTCTGTTTCGTTCCTGCTTTCACTTTGAGGTATATATCTAGAATTGGGATTGCTGGTCATATGTAGTTCTTTGTTCAACTTTTTGAGGATGATTTTTTTTTTAACATAAAGAGAATTGAGTCATTTCCCCCCTTGTTGACAATTTTAGAGTTTGCCAAGAGCTTTCATGCATTTTTTGTTGTTGTTGTTGGAGATCACAACCACTTGGCAAGAAACTTATTACTGTACCCATTTCACAGCTGAGGAGGCTAACAGGTGAATGGCTTAACCAAGTTTTATATATATACTGTGCACAACATATATATACCATATACCAGGGTCTAGATCAAAGATAAGAAGCCCTAATAGTGCAACCATTAAGCAGTTCAACTTCTAACCGATAAGTTAGCAGTTCAAACCCACCCAGTGGCTCCGCAGGAAAAAGACCCAGTGATCTGCTCCTGTAAAGATTACAGCCTAGAAAACCCTATGGGGAGTTCTACTCTGTTCCGTGGTGTCTCTGTGAGTCAGAATTGATATGACAGCACCTAGCAACAACAAGGTCAAAGATAATCTTCCTTAGTCTCTTTGCAAAAGGTCAGTCTGTGCATACGTTGTGTCTGCTACCCGTCAGAGAGCTGAAGTCCTTTGATTCATGGTCCTGTCTACACCACTAGGCTCTAAGCTCCGTTAAGGAAGGATCATACCTATTTGTTCATCCCTGTATCTGCAACATCTGGTGAAGGCCTGACAGATAACAAGCACTCATTAAACATTGAATTAATGCGTAAGTGAATGAGTAGCAGCAATCATGAGCCCTTTCGCTTAAGGGGGAGCAAGTTGTTGTGAAAGTAATACTGGTTTTAGACTCAGAAAGAGCTTTGTTTTCAGCTGGCCACTTACAAGAGGTGTGACCTGGGCAAATTACTTCACGTTTCTGAGCCCCTATTTCTTCATGTGTGAAAAGGGGACTAAATACCTCTGTCTTAGAGCTGCTATGATGACTAAGTGAGATAAAGTATGTAAAAAGCTTAGCCAGTGCCTGGTATTTAGCAATAATTCAAAAAATGTTTGCTATTATTAGCAATCAGTATCAAATATGCAAACCTTGTCATTTCTGCAGGAAGTAGCCCCCCCTCCCTCTCAGCTAATTAATTAACTTATTTTTGGTCAGCAATCAGTGACTAAATGGAAAATACTGATGAGCAATCCCTAGGTGAGGAGGGCTGTGCTAGAAACCTGAGTTAAAAGTACAACTCAGCAATCAGTCCTATACAAATTAGGGCAATTTATCTAGAATTTCTCTCACTACCTTCTCCCATTTGAGGTCTTTCCGCATTTCCTGGTCTTCCTTCCCTCTTGTGTATGATCAGCTATCATTCATCCGCTAGTTGGTTCCTTTAGAAATTCCAAAGCATTGCGACAAGAAGACCCAAAAGACTTGGTTCATGTATTCAATTAGTATTTACTGAGTACCTGCTATAAGTCAGGCACTATTTCTAGGTCGCTGGGTGGCGCACGTGGTTTGTACTGAACTTCTAACCTAAAGGTTGGTGGTTTGAACCCACCCAGGAGGCAATGCAGAAGAAAGGCCTGGCTATCTGCTTCCATAAAGATTATAGCCAAGAAAACCCTATGGAGGACTGTTCTACTCTTTAACACATGGGGTCACTGTGAGTCATAATCAAGCTGGCAGCATCAGGTTTGACTTTTGGTTTATTTCTGATGCTTACAATATATCAAATATCCCTGCTAATATAGCACCTACTTTCCAACAGAGAGAGGCATCCAAAAAAGGTGATGAATAGAATTATATATATGTTAGACGCCTGGGTGGCGCAGATGGCTAAGCACTCAGCTACTTACTGAAAGCTTGATAGTTCAAACCCTCCCGGAAGTGCCTTAGAGGAAAGGCCTGATGATCTACTTCTGAAAGATCACAGCCATGAAAATCTTATGGGGCACAGTTCTATTCTGAAACATATGGGGTTACCATGAATCAGAATTGACTCAATATCAACTGGTTTATATATATATATATACATATATATAGTTTTCGCTGGTTGCTGTAGGGATATGGACACACGCACACACACATATATATATGCTGTAGGGGAGTGAGTAAGGAGGAGGGTAAGAAGAATGGAGATCACAAAGGTAACAGAGGGCCAACCTACGGAGGGCCTGATAAGCTTTTACTCTCAAAGATGGTGCCGTTGTGCAGTTTTAGAAGAAGGGAACGGACCCTCCTCCTGGTGATCAGGGTCAACTTCCCTGCCAAGTTGGAAACACCTCTTCTTATCGTCTGGTCTCGGTACACAAGGAGTCCAAAGTGTCCTGATGCTAGCCCTAACTGGTAGTTCAGTGGAACCATTGCTGTATCCCTACCAAGACTGCGCCCCCTGGGGACCAGGAGCTCCAACTCTGCAGAGCCCAGAGTTGCAGGGATGGGAAGAAGAAAGTCCCACAGTAGGTCATTAGGAGTGATGGTAAGAGGGGCCACTTCTACTTCTACCCTTTGGTTCCCAAACTCATGTATTCTTCCTACTTGGGGACATAGCACCATATAGAGGTTTCTGCATCCTGATCAACAGCCCGCATCCTTGCAGAGGGCTGTCTCCAAGCTGGCATTTCAGTGGACACTTCAGCAGGCTGTTGCAGTGCTCGATGAGGCCAGCTGCTTCTGGACAGTGTGATATGAGATAGACCTGTTGGATCCCATGGCCATGGCCCACTCCTGTACCTCCTTCACTGTGAAGTGGGTTCCTTGGTCAAGTGTACATTGTGTGGGAATATATGCCTCTGGTGCTGGCTCAGACTCTTGGAGAAGGAAAGGGACAGCTCAAAACTTTGTCCGTTGAGAAAGTTTTCCTTTGCCACTATTATTCAAGGCCACTCCTGAGCATGGTTGTGATGAATCCACCATCCATTTTCAGGTTGCATCCTCATCCTCATGAGCCAACCCATCTATAATCCCAGTTTGGGCTTTTTCTTCCTCCTTTTTCTCAGGAAACCCTGGTGGCATA